CCCAGGGCCTTAACATCCAAAGGAGTACGCTGCAAACTCTGGAGAATGCAATAAATACTGCAAGGATACTAACAGCTGGCTAAGACACAAACCAAATGCCTGAAAACCCTGACAATGCATGTATTTCCTCTTAGTTCATTTAAACTGTATGTTAAATTCTATATAACTATATTAAAATTTGTTCATAAACTAATACTGGCCCACAGCAACTGAGTTAACCTAGAGCTACTATAGTCTTTAAAATGATTTTAACAGTGAGAGAAAAAACAAAGCAAAACAAACAAACACTCCATTTGTTCAAAATCAGGTTGCCATGGTATGACCACTTACCCTGCACCCATCCAGCTGGGTCAGGCATTTGAAAAATTCCATTTTTTGGTTATAAAAACACCTTCAGGCATGTACTGGAAGTGGCTCCAAATATAACAGCAAAGGTGAATCTGTTGCCAAAATCACTTAAAAAATCAAATGGTCTGAAAGGAAACCACACAAACATTGGTAAAACAGTGGCACCCAAATAGCTCACTTAAAAATACACTCCCATTAAACCCATTCAATAAGGGAATGCCTCATATTATTGCACTATGTTTATATTCTGACTGAAATGGCACAATTTCCTGATAGATCAGGGGTGGCAGAGTTTTTAGGTCAATTTTTGCTGTGTATGTACTGCTGGCCTCTCAGAAACCTGCCCCATTATAGTCTACCCTGTGGCCAATTATACACCTCATTTGCTAAGTGAGTCACTTTACAGGAAGTGTTATTTTTGTGATCCCATCTACCCATGTGCTGCTGGCCTCTTGGAATACCTGCCCTATTATAGTCTATTCTGTGGCCAACAATACACCCCATCTGCTAAGTTAGTCACTTTACCAGAAATGTAATACTTGTGATCCCAACTTAGTCAATTTCTGTTTATAGATGCATCTATCTAGCTATACTACAAAGTCTTTTAAGTAGGTCATGATCCTAAAATGAAGCAACACATTTGTTTACATGAATTTAGAACACTTTACTTTTCATCTTCAGTGCATTAATATTCTGGTACATTTCAATCTAATTTGAGCCTTCCAATTTGTAAATCCTTACTTTGATGTAGGAAAATTTTCCAAATCATGAAAATGTATTGGTCCCCAATCTAGTAACTCTATTGAAAATGTAACCCCATTATAGCTATGTGAGTCATGAAAATGCCACCCAAACCAGCAGCACATCCCCTTGCCTAGAATTACAAGTAGCAACTTTTTCAAAAAAAAAGTACATGTAGCTTGGTGTCACTTAGACTTAGTACAACTACTTAAAAGTACACAATGATTAGACTATATGTTGCTGACCTTCAATATAAGCCTTGACCTTTTTGCTCTATTAATCAATTCTGTACTCACATCAGCAAACCAGGATATCCATTGCAGTTTTGAAGTCCAGATTTGACCCTTTGCTTGACAAAGGCCAGTATAAAAATGATGACAAACTTAAAAATAATAATAATACATGTAATAATAATGATCAGTTGTGCAAGCATGAAATTACAAGTGAAGTTTTAGCAAAACATCATCACCTGCCTAACTTTCCGACATAAAACAGGGGGGAGGGGGGCAGTTATTCCAGAGGGGGTGCTTTTTGGAAGAAGGGCGCAAAATCAAATTATTATGATATGTAAATAATTTTTTCATCATTGTCCAATGCAGGTTACTTCAGTATTTCATTTACAGCTGGAAGAAGACAGCCAAGATCAAACAGACTCTCTTTGATAATTGTGAGGCACCTAAATTGATAATTTTGAGAATGAAAATCTGTATAAAAAGATCCACATACAATTTCAGAGGAAATAACTAAACGAGGCCTACTGTAATTTAAGACACGGAACAGAACGAAAATGAAGATCTGTAATTTTAGAAGAGAGATTTTCAATTTGCAAAACAAGAACCCGTGTGGAACTCCACAGTACGGAAGGATGAGAGGGTCTATTAGGAACCCTCTAAGCCGTCGAAAAAATATCCACAACCGCAAAACCGCAAAAAAATTCGATCAAAAATCGAAAACCTCATGCAAAACCGTCAAAATCTATAAGTGTTCACATCCCAGTTCTCAAAACCCTGATCGATCCGATACAGTGTTGACAAGTGGAACATACAGAGGTTTCGCGGCTATTCGAGATCAGTGGCCGCTTGGATCGAAGAGAAACCGGAATCCAAATGGGAAAATCCGAAAATCACTTTGGAAACCAAATCCGAAGCCCATAAGACAAGTATTTATGACGAAACCGAAAAACATATGCTAAAGAACGGAAAATCCGTAATCCGTAATGAACATTCAATCTGAAAAAACCAAAATTCCACGGCATAAAAACCGATCCTAAAAAAAATATCGAAAATCCCAATGCCCCCCTTATGGATGAATCGGTCAGTTCAGTCCGGAATTCATACAAATGATAACACAACAACCATTATTATTACTGAAACCTCAACGAAAACTCTTTTTATCGTTATTATTTTCCAATCAGAAACATGCTGCAAAACAACTCTAGTCACGCGATATTTTTCAGGGAAGGTGTCATGTCACGCAATCGAATCATTCGTCGACTACGAACATCGATGCTGCAGCCTCACGGATTTTTTATTATTTTTTTTTTTTGTAATTATAGATCTACATTTTATGGCTAAATGGCGCAGTCCTTCCTTTAAATACAGAAGAGGATTTGATTAGCTAAGAACCCCACGGAGATGTTCATATTTTCAGTTCGTTTCGTTTCGTTTATCAAATCACAGTAAGCCCTAAAACTTCCGGAGATATGGTCGATTCTAGTTTTACAATAGAGACTAAATACATTTTATGAAATCAGATATTTGAAAGACAGACGCAAAAAAGAGTGTTACAAACGTTAACTCTTTGACTCAATTGTATCCGATTCTGCGTATAAACTCCATCATCTGATACCACTCAAGCAAACACAATTTAGAAACCAGTGTAATTTTAAGTTTGGGAAAACGTACACGACCTCGCTTATTCCATTCAAGTCCAATCTGTAGAACTTTTTATGCGCAGTTTTTTTTTTTCTATAGGGTCATTGTATATTACATGAAATTGTTTTTTTGAATATCAGTGTATAAAACTTCAAATAACGTTTTGCAAATTTCATGCTGCGAATTTGAATATTTTTCAATAAACAAACGATATACCTCGAGGAGACGACAGCGCAACGAAAGAACCAAATCGCAGAACGAGCCGGCGCGAATCTAGAGCGCAGTCATTCATGGAAATATCGACATCCACAACAGAGTACGTACCCCTGAGGAGTGTTCTCCGCGGATCTATTTGCCATTTTCATCTATTGGGGCAACTGCACGTGGGTTAACCTCTCTCGTCTGACAGCTCCTTTCATTTGGTTCCGTGAATTTGAATTAGATTATGGTTATCTTATGACCCATTGTTTTTTTCGGAAAATTAGCGGAAGAGAAATAGCAGGAGTCTGGAAACTAGCTAAGTTGGTGACCGCTGACTGAAGTACAGGAGATTATCAAAGATGGCGCGAAAAGTCAGAGAGTGATGTGAACACATCACTATACTAGAATAGTTTGTCAGTCGTTTTAGTTCTCAGCGGTAGAATTTCGCTAAAATTGGTGTGTATTGCCATACATGGTAAAATTTCCTTTGCCATGAATCTTTTATTTGGCACATGGTAGGTAATTTTACAACAAGTTTTAACTAAGAGTTTCATTCCACTACATATATCCAACCTAAGGTATCTTTCTGGGCTAGAACGTGAAAAATGGTGTGGTACTGTGTGTTAACTAACTTTGTAGGTATAATTTTCAATACTCTGAGTATGTCAGGGTAGCTGAGTGAGGCTGATAAGTTACAATGTTTGCCTTTGTTTTTATCTTTAACAAGGTCACTCGGCATGAAGCAATTTTGTCTTCATTCTTTAACTCCCAAGATCTGTTTTCTAATTCTCCCCACTTGTTTCTAGACGTTTCCTTGTACATTTGTTATAGGAATTTGTTTTTAGATCAAGATAACTTTTTTTTCATTACCCTTTTGTTGGATATTGTAGAGATATTTTAGGGAGAAGTTACATGTTAATTACATCTGGGAGTTTAAGGGTTGAACAGTGTGATGTGATATACTGCTACCTAAATTTCACTCAACATTGAAATATCCAGGACTTAAGCATTCCCTACAAATTTGTTCAAACTGCAGTTTACTAATTCTGCAGAGCAGTTGCAATATACAACTCTAATGCCTGTTTCACAATTTTGACAAGTACTAGGTAATCTTTCATTTACTCAGACTGTAGGGAAAATGAAATTGTTGATTAACTTGAAAGGTAATTGATAAAGAAACATTGAGACTTCACCTTACTCAGGCTATTAATTATTTTTCTCCACAAGCCTGGTGTAACCAACATGCCAGCAATAAATTTTAGATAAGTTTAATTTCCTGATGACTGGACTGAACTCTTCTATTTACATGCCATTGCCAGTGGTTTCTACATAAAGTATTGCGAACATAATACATCAAGAACAGAATGACTAAAAATGAGATGGGAAATAACACAGGAAATACAAGTAACAAGAAATATGTATAACATAAGCAATACTAAAAATATATAAAACATGGGTCACTTGAGGAAAGAGCAATTTACCTGACAATTTGGGAATATGGCTGGCATAACAGTGTACTTGCAACTGCCTTTTAACTCAAGCTCACACCTTTTTTATTTGCATGATCTGTGCAAAAGTCAAACTTGCGGACTGGGGCCAGGAGGGGGATTGGTTTCTACACCTGATGTCTTCTCTCAATTTGGAAGAAAATGTCTTGTAAGAAAGTTGTGCTCCAAGGAACAACACCCCCCTTCATCTTATCCAGTTGTTATTGTTAGGTCAAAAGAAGCAAATTTATCTCATGTTGTGTGAATAAAAATATGTAATTGTTAATTTGCTGGGCAGGGTTTATCAAGAAGTGAAGATGATGACATTGCCTGAAAAAAAAAACCAAAAGAAAATCAGAAGAGGAAGAAGAAAGGAAAAAACATTATTGACTCAGGTAATGTTTTAGGATGAACACGAACAGTTTCAAAAGGCACAGATGTTGAGACTCTACACAAACTGTTATACCTCTGTATTAGTATTAATCGTGTTTTGTGCTGTACAGTGTCCTTGTCAATTCCAGATGCAATTTGCATTATTACAAAAACATGATATAAAAAGATTCACATAGTTATACATACAACATCACAATGATGTCCTGACCTTATTTCCAAATTAATTTTACATCTCTGTTAGATTCTGATGAAGATCCTTTTCCTCCAGAAATCAGGTATGTGATTTGTTTTTTCAATTTCATTCCATTTCATACAGTTGTAGTTAAACTCTTTGACCCTAATATCAGCCCTGAATTAAGAGTCAAGGAAATGATCACCAACTATAGAAGCTCTTGATTATTAAACAAATTCTCCTTGTCAGCAGCTTAGAAAATGCATAGAGAACAGTATGGAGAATATGCATACTGATGTCAAGGTGTATTCACAACCTGGTTCTCTTTCATGCATCTCTGTTTCAGAAAAGCCACATCAGTAAAGAAGGAGGAGAGTTCAAAAGCTAAGAAAAGTAGAGGAGCAATCAGCTTGGACTCAGGTAAGGAAATTATGTCAACTTATTGAGGGTACGCAATACTTTTTATGTGAAAGGTGATGTAGAGACTTTATCTTCATGGGAATTGTGATTTCATCTTTTTTTTACATAAATATATTTAATTTTCATAGGATTAACAGTTTTATTAACAGGTTAGAAAGAGTGAAAATATGAATTTGGTTTAATTTTTTTCCTTGGTTTTATTGATCTTCAAAATGTGATCGTCTTGAATTTCATGTGAATGTGAAAACGTTTTGGATACTTTTCATTACAAATAACATAAATAAGATTGCCAAATATCTTTACGTGACTGAGTTTGACACAAGGGTTTTTTTTAGCAGACTCTGCTTATTGATGGAGTGGGAGGGCTGGATAGGGAAATAATTATTCAGTGTGAGGTGAGCTTGAGGTACAGTAAGATGATGTCAGTTTTTTTAACATTGCGTGACCTTTAACATTGCTTATGTATTAGCTTGCTAAAGAAAACAAAGCCATCTGCTTCATTCAGGGTTCAGCACACTTACCATTAGACCATTATGCCTCAAATAGAATTTGAATATTTTAGCACTTGAGTTATATTTTGATGCATTTTCTACAGATGAGGAAGAAGTTGTGCCCAGCAAATTAAAAATGTCCGCAAAACAGGCAAACAATGTAGCTTCTAAAGAGGTCCAGCAAGTTAAAGAGAGGTATCTTTCATCATTCTCTTTCATTATATTTGACATTTCAGTACCAAACTATGGTGTTCATTTAGAACATAAGATATTGCTCTGGAGAAGCATCTGGCTTCTTATAAAAATATCCAGCTAAATTTTGTTTCTCTGTTTGTTTGTTTGTTTTTCTCCTTTCTTCCATCAGGCATTGCGAGTGTTAGATCTGTCATAGGACACTGCTCTTAATACTAATAAATTTAACCCTTTGACTGCAAAGAATGACTAGTAACTAATTTCTCTTTACAATATCCCTCCTGAATCAAACATTAATGTGCATCGATTGCTTTTTTTTGTTGAAAGTAAGTTATTTAAATGGTCTTCTTTCACTGGAGCTTCTTTTCAGGGAAAGATGATTTACTAAAACTTACTGTGAATTGTGTTTGCTTTTCTGGTTTCTCCAAAATTTTAACTTTTGGATAGGCATAGGTTACACACAGGTGTCAAGGTTAAGGGCACAAGAATAAAGGAAATGATCACCAACTAAGCTCTTGTTTGTTAAATAAATTCTCCTTGTCAGTACCCTCAGAAACACATAGAGAACAGTTTAGAGAATGTGCATACTGATATTATAAATGTGTTCAGGGTTGAAAATGAAAAACAAACAAACCCAAAAAACAACAGCAAAATAATTAAGACAGTGTCATCAAAGGTGAATTTAATACAATGTTGTTGTGGTACTGAAATATTTAACACATGGATTGTTATTCTTGCTTCAGTCCAGTCAAATCTAAAGAGAAAAAAGCAACTTCTGCACTTGATTTCTTTGGTTCTACTCCAGTTGAAAGGGAATCCAGGAAAACATTTGCTAATAAAAGAAAACAGGTGAATAACTAACTACACTTTTTCCACCCACAATTTTTTTTGTAAAGAAAAATTCAGGCATCCAGTGTATTTTTAACAGTATTTCATGCATCATGCATTGAATAGGGAAAACTTCAAACCTCACCATACCTTGCCTTTCTATAAAATTCATGCATCACATGTTCATTTTTGGGCATAATCACACATCCCTTATAAAACCCTTTGCCAATCTGTTATAGTTATATCAGGATGGTCTACAGTGAACACATACCATGTCACAAAATCAATGGGTACCAGTAGTGACCAATTGAGGAATAGTTTTGGCAGAAACAACACCATGGGCTGCCTTAAAGGAACAAGTCCTTTCACCTCCAAGATATTAAAATCAATTCTCTTCACTGTCTGTCACACAAGTGTTATAAAAATATCTTTGAGAATACGGTGTTCAATCAAGTGATATCCTCTTGTCTGATGATTTTCTTTGTTCTCATCACATTGCTGCTCAGTTGACTGTGAATTGGTATTATTGCGAGAAATTACAAAATTGATCACTCTTAAGAGTGCAAATTTTAAGCTTGATCCAGAGCTTTAAGCCTACAAAATGACAAAATGATCATCCCTTAATTCCCTGTTGAACCATAAATCATTTTTTTTGTTTTCATTTCCCACAGAGATCTGACCCAAAGTGATTAGAAAAGAAGAGTATAAAAATGGGAGAGAAAAAGAAGGAAGAGAAAATGGGAATGTCAGCCGTCACACAACAGAGCAACCATCAAAGAAAAGAAAGGAAGACTTCTCAGAATCAAAGTCTGTGGTTAAAAAGCCTTTCCCTGAGAAGAAAAAGGTTTGTAAGCCTTTTGATTACCATACTTTATTGTTGCAAAATTAATCATTACTAATAATACTTAATTGACCTAGCTACCCTGATACTAGAATGGATTGGATCTGATATGATTGCATGTGTAAGGTATGTGTCACTAATTAAGCACTTGAATAAGTTACTTTTAGATGAAACAGTAACATTTTATGACTAAATTTGGCTTTCTTTAAGATCCAAAAGCTTACTCAAATTTATTAACTGGTGTTACATTTTGTATAATTATGTAAACCTGTCCTACTATGACACATTACTAACAATACTTGCAACAAAACATTACTTACAATACCAACACTATTCAAAATACTACCATTACTGTACCTAGAATTTATACAAAAACAGTAACAATAGTGACAAAACTTTTTGGTACATTCTTGGTGATGTTAACTTTGACAATCCAGGGAGATGCTGCCACTTTGTCTCCATTTTTCAAAGCAGCAGTGTCTTTCACTATCAACATTCCTATTTGGGACAACTCTTGCCTTGTGAGGACAACTCTTTGCTGTTAGAATATTTGATATACATGTAACTTTTATTCACTTCAAATTTTATCCATGGACATTTCAGGAAGTACCCAACTCCTGCCAGCAATCTGGCTGCCAAAGCTGCCACACTTCCAGAAACTCCATTTAAAGACTCAAAACCAAGTCCAAAGAAAACTGTTACTCTGAAAAAGGAAAAAAAGATTTTTGTAAGGAAACTCCAACCCAGGGAACACCAGAAGATGTCAAAATCAGAGGAAGTGGTTGAAATTCCACCCTCATTGGAAAAGAAAAAATCTGGCTACCATGGTTTTATGGCAAGAGATGGTCCTAGGGCACTTGGTTCAAAGGAAATCCCTCAGGTAGGTTTCGAAGACCAAGATCTGATTGTTAATTCTCCCCTCTAGCTGCTTCACATTTTTCTGTAAATTAATAATGAGAGTTTGTTGTTAAATCGTTATAACAAACTACATGTACTTGATAAGTTTTAGTATCCTCATTACTGGATAATGTATGGATATTCTCAAGAGAGGTTACATGTTAATTTCTTATGTTAGTCAAATTATTATTATCTCTCAAAGCTCTTTATGGTTTGTTTTCCATCCTTTCAAATTTTAATGAGAGATGCAAGACAAAGGAAAATGAAGATTATTAGAATTAAGGCTTATTTGGAAAATCTGCAGATACAGTTTATGCAAAAAAATTGTAAAATGCATGCTTTGATTAACCCTTTTACTTCTGAGATGTCAATAGTAATTCTCCTTACTGTCTGTCATACAATTCTTGTAATGTTAGTTTGGAGAATTTGGTCTTGGATCAACTAATAATCCCCTGGCTGATATTTGTCGTTATTCTCATCACTTGTCTGCATGATATTGTATTGATATTGTAAGGAGAAGTTCTGTCTTGGTCACTCATGGGAGCTAAAGGGTTAAACAAAAAAATGTATTTTATCCTTTTACTCTCAGTTGATGTTCAAATGTTGGTTCGATGTCAGTATCTGAGAAACTGCCCACCTACCCCTCCCCTAATCCAACATTAACCCTTACTTGTAAGCAGTTGATGGTTGTTGAGTTAGGGGAGGGGTGGGTGTGCAGATGCTGACAATGATCTGAAATGTTTATGGTGTATCTACAGAGTTTTTTCATTTTTCACCATTTATAACTTTTCAGTTTGGACAGTATTAAGAGGCCTTCAAGGGAAGAATTAATTATTTGTCTGCATATCTTAAATTATGCATGCACTTGATAATATAATATTTAGGAAGCGGAAAACTGTTTGAATGGACTGACATTTGTTATTACAGGAATCTTGGAAAGTATTGAGAGAGAGGAAGCAGCAGATCTGATTCAAAGATATGGTGGAAAAGTTGCCCAATCAGTGAGTAAGAAAGAGTCAAGTTGTTGTGGGACAGGATCCTGGGGAGAGTAAACTTTCCAAGGTACATTGTAATGCACAGCTCAAAAGAGGGAAAAAAATGTCTGTGAACATAACCATATACACTGCACCTTTTCCCTAAATTTTTATAACAAATCCGTGTGCAGCTTACTGCAAATACACCTGGGAAACTTGCTGCAAATTTGCATAAATTAACATGATTCATTGAACAGCAAACTAACAAGAACTGAAAAATTTTCTTTTTGTTGTTGTCTTCTAAAAGTTTTTTTTTTCCATGAGCATAAAATTATACTGTGGAGTTCATTAAATGTTTCTTTGTTAAAAGACCTTTTTAACTGGTTTAAGGTTGTATTTCCTTCCTTGAATAGCTAAACATTACTTGGCGAGAAACCTGTGATTTCTTTGTTGTTGTTGTTTTTGTTGTTGTTTTTTTTTGTGCAACTGATCACATAATTTGTTAATCCTCATTTCCCTTCTTCCATCTACTTAATTTACGGTGTCACTCAGTTTGTCTGTCTGTCTGTCTGTCTGTCTGCTCTTTTGTGACCACGACCACATCAGCTTTTGCTGAATTTTTTATCGTGTTTAAATAAATGCTGTTGTTGTTGTTGTTGTTGTGTATGTTCATTCTTCCAATGACTGTCTTTCTATCTGTCACTTATTCTCCTTGTTCTCCTTGTTCTCCTCTGTCCAGTCACCCACACGTCAGTTTTACCACAACTCTAAATTCCACCTTTAGGTTCATCTGTTGGATCATTTTACTGTACTTCCACCTGTAGACTTGTTTGTGTTACTTAAATTGAGTTACAAGAGAGTACAGTTTTTTGGTTTTTTGTTGCTTTATTTTTTTAATCTACATAAGATTTTGACAGTAAAGGTAATTTTTTTTGTGCAGAAGATCCAAGTCTGTTATCAGTAGACAAATATCAGCCTTGGGCAGTGAAGCAGATTATTGGTCAGCATGGTGATAAGAGCAACATGAGAAAGCTGATGAACTGGGCTGAGAGACTGGGAAAAGAATAGAAAGAAACTAGCCTCTAAATGTGAGTACACATTGATTGTCAAGATGCTTTTCCCTCAAATACATGTACATGTAACTTCTCTTCAGGCAAGTATGCAAACGGTTCAGGCAAACTGTCATAGAAAGCAGATGAAAAAGTTTGGGTTGTAACCAGATAGGGGGACCTTTCTGGGGGGGGGGGGAGTAGCAATTCTCCTAGTCACCTGATGCTACTGAAATTAAGTAAGCATAGGCAAGGTTAGACCTGTGGCTCTTGTGCTGACTTTACCTCTAACCCTTTATCTCACATGAGTGACCAAGACAGGATTTCTCCTTACAATATCAATACAATATGAATCAGACAAGTAATGCGAATATAGAAAAATATCAATCTGGGGATAATTAGTTGTTCCAATACCAAATTATCCAAATCATAAAAATTTTATGGCAGACACTAAGAAGTACTAGTGAGCTGTTTGAAGTAAAAGGGTTCAGTGGATGAACCTAACCTTAATCTACAGATATTTTACATAAGACCTTAAATTGAGTTGTAATGCAAATGTCGTCTAGCTGTTGGCTAAATACCTTTCACATTGAATCCAGATTGTTTCTTAATTCCCACATTCATAGATACAATTTTTTAAACAGCTGTAACTTATGAACTTTTATGAATTTATTTTACTCGACAGTCACTTATACATGTAGTTAGTATGTTAGTAATGGAATCACAGTTTTAAACCTTTTTATTTTGGACAGCTTTCTTTTACAACAAAGACCAAGATGGGTCGTCCTTTATGGCAGCTCTTCTGTCCGGTTCCCTAGGAGTTGGAAAAACAACAACAGCTACATGTATCCTGGTTTGTGAAGAGCTGGGTTTTACGTACATTGAAATGAATGCCAGTGACACACGAACCAAAAAGACCTTGGAAGAACACATTTCTCAGTCACTGAACAATAAAACCATGGATGGCTTTCTGACAGGTTGTCAAATTTCTGTATGATTTGGAATGACTTTGATATTATTAAAGATACTTCATGAATTCTCCAGTCTTACTAAACTGATTTTCCTCCGTAGTTAATTTATTAGATTTCAGATGTAATTTTTCCCTGTATTTTTGGTCGTATTCGCTATACAATAACTTTTTGCTAAATTTCGCCTTAGGTCATTTCTTTTCACTCACCCGTCGAATTAAAGCTCTATTGGTCCACTTTTCCTAAAACATTTGTCAAGTTTCCAGGCGGACAAATCGCCTGCATCTTTAATAAGAAAATTTCCTTCACTATGCGTTCAGTATGTGTGTGTCTCATTTTTCCCTGTCCTGTCAAGACCTCTCGTATGGCAGTCCAGCGCCCTTCGATCACCCTAAGCAGGCGATGGTTTAACGACCATCACATCAGCAAAAAATAAGTATACTAAAAAAAAAAATAGCATGTTTATATCATTGTGCTACACTCCGAATTAATGAAAATGAAAAGTTAAAAAATGTAATATGAGGTCCTGTCCAAACTTGGCGTATAAATAGTGAAACAGCATCGCTACAAAATAGAATCATGGATCACGAAATAAGCAATGACACGATTTTCTGTTTCGAGTTCGATGAGCTCATATTCAGCTTCTTCAATACTGCTCGTGTTACCAAGTGCACCGTTTTGTTACACACTTCTGGGGCAAATCACATTTTCACAGGAGTTAAGGTGAGGACAGAATAAGTTAATAGCGACCGAATGCAGTGAATGAGATAAACGGATATTGACTAAAGATACAAATAGAAATAATTTGAAACATGAGACAAAAGAATGAAAAAAATATCGATCTTATTTACTCGTCACGAACGCAGGATCGAATCTTAGACCATCGGATTTTACGATCTGAAGTTCTCACACATAGCTATAGATTTCTCGTTAATGATCCATGACATACAATGGATACATAAAAGGATCATCCTGCATACTGCTTAGATCATCATTGTCGAAAGTTTCATGTCTTCAAATACTTAATTATTGAAAGGAAATTTCAAGCTCTTGCGTGACAAAGGAAAAAATCATTTTTAACCGACGACCGTAAAGAAAAACCCTATCTGTCAGATCAGGTTAAACGACAGATTAAATATCAATGCTGACATGAAGATAAACATACCAGACCTTGAGGTAGCTTATTTATCTTCCCATGAGGGATTTACGAAGCTGCGGCATTTCTGATTCCAGTATCATGTGAGTCACTTGTCTGTACGAACTGTTAGACATTTATTTATGGCCTCGCTTACTGCATCCAAACTCGGCTGACAATTCTAGAGCTCAAAGAGACAGAGAGTTACGGCCTCAGATTTTTCTTCCAACTTAAAGACAACTGGTTCAGTAACAATTTATTCATAAAATTCTTATAAGATACACAGAGGGTTTCTGCACACAAAGATGCATGGAGTACACAGATTTAAAAAAATTTTGAATATCTTCCTCGGATATTTTTTTTTAAGAAGAGTACTTATGGTATTCGCTTTAATTCTTTCCAAGACGCGAAACGATTTCAATATGCTTTTCTCTAGATACAACGAGAAGTCAAGTATTTTTCTTGCAAAAGAACTTTATTGGAGTTAAATTTATTGCAAGTAATCTTCAGGTGAGGAAAGATAATGAAGAAATATGTAGCATATTATAATCGAAAGACAAGAAAATTGGAAAAAATTTACATAAAGAATACATATTATTGATGTGGTTTCTTTAGCTTTGTATCTCCCTCTGGTGATTTCACTGGACACCTACGCTTTTGACTGCAAAAATATTTAGTGCAGAATTGGCGGGAGTTATTTACAAGAAAAAAGCTTACCGTTATTATTTTTAGAAACTTTTTGAAGTTGTCACGGTGAGAGCGGAAAATGAAAATTTGAGAGAACTGTAACGCTAATGGGAAGATGACCAAAAACAAATGTGTATCATATTGAACGAGGGATATATCGAGTTGATCACTTGAAGAGAAATTGCATTGGTACAATATAACTCACGGTGTAAATTCATCCTTATCGATTCAGTTATGGCAGGGTGTAACATGTCCTGCTCAAAGAAGAAAAGGGGTTTTGCGGATTGCGAGTGTTTTGCACTGAAAGAGAAAGAGCTGAATTTAAATCACAGAAATAATTAATCGCCATGGAGAATCATGTAAACAAGTAGTAATCATAAAAAGAATAAAAAAAAAACAAACAGACAAAAATAAAAGCACAATACTGGGCATTAGATGAGGTTACATCTTTCAAACTCGTGAATATGTTACCTTCATTTTTTCATCGAATTGTTGTAAAGCAAAATATTATTTTGATATTTTCAGGCATGTAGAATTAACAAATGACATCGTCTGGAGAATAGAAGGATTCAGAGGATAACAGTTTAACAGGTACAAATCAATTTTCATTCTGCAACTGATTAGTGCTGTAGAGCTCATTTTAATTATAATGAAAGATCACAATCTTTTTTTTCTTGCGGCTGACAACAATCAAGTTTAATTTCAGTCGAATTTCCCGGTTTATTGTTATCAGATGTGAAGATATTTCAATGGTTTCTCTCATTTGACTGGTTTAATAGTCTGCACGCGATGCAATTTCCTGAAGCCTTAAACTCCTAGAAGTGATATAACTTGTAACTTATTCTTGTAATATCAATACATTATCCAGCAAACAGGCAATGAGAATACTCAAAGTTTTATCAGGTAGAATTCGTTATCTTTGAACTAACACCAAATTTCTGTATCTACTTTGAAATGAAACATGTAGCAGCTAGAGGGGAGAATTAACAATTAGATCACTGGAGTTAAAGGTTTAACTGCGCGTGATGATTATGCGGCAGAAGGGCGTGATGAGCATGTGACAGAGCTAGATAACGTGACGTATGTAATTAGAGCTCTCGTCAATATCAAAATCAGCAAATATCTCTTTGTAAGTTTGTAACAAAGCTCGAGGTTGAAAAAAAATTACACAATCCCTACGTTTCTTTTGATATGGTAACATTCGCGATATATAGTAATAATAACGGTAATATGGTTCAGTTTCCAAAACGTGACATCTCCACCGCACGCTGTAAATGTACCATTTATATCTTCACATATTAAGGTATCAATATCGTCATTACAACCGGATTTATCAACATGACAGTTTTACCTTCCATGCGGGCTGTTTTTTTTTTTTCAATTGTATTTTTTTTACCTGAAGCTGAATTCAATTCTTTTTTAAAGAAAATAGTTCTTGTAATGATAAACTGTTGTATTACAATGTCCGAAATTGAATGGATTTTTCGGCGAGCTGAGTTTCGGTGTAACGGATCTCTTTAATCGATGCTCCTAATTAAAAAATCATATTTGATTCAAATTTTCAATCAATATCTTTTGAATAAAATGGATGATACATGTTGGCCTATCGATACGAATTTATCCGCTTGAATTGAATTATCTATTTGAAGGAGTAAAAGATGTCATGAACACTCGATGGTAAAATTCGTATCCACGCGCGGTTATCTAATATCTCATGTATGCGTGTGTATTACTGAACAAGTGTGAGCTTAAGAAGGCTGTACATCGGCCAATTTCCCTCACTATATTTTAAGCCGGGACCGAGACGAAGGCTTCGTCAGCAACGGATCAAAGGATGTATCACACGATAACAAAATATATTCATGCATTATGGAAGTACCAAATAAATCTGTGAGTTTCGTTGTGATTTTTGTTTTGTTTTGTTTTCATTTAGGACGAATCTGTGACCTGTGTTTTAGCCAAAAATGCTGGAAAAGCCTTTATTCATAGGACAAAAATATATTGCTTAGTTTTGAAATTATACGAGGTATTCAACAGGCTACAAGCATTTCTTTTTTTCCTTCTGTGGGGAATCAAAGTGGGAATCTAAAGAATACACATTTTGCACTCTTGGGTAGCTGATCAGAGCACAGCTTTCTTGCTCGCTCGCGGGTCCTACCTTAACGTATAAATAGCAGAGGAATTGGTCTTTTATTGCATTATTTTTGATCCATGCCTACCGGGTACAACAAGGTTGTTTATTGCAATTCACGCATTTTGATAAGGGACAGCCTTGAACGACGTTTCAACAGATGAGACTACGAAAACAAACAAACAAACATGACACAACCCGCAGAACTTAACTGGAGCTGTCACGCAATTACAATAGCGTGACGGAGGAAACTTTGAGATTTTCAATCTTCCTCTATGATTAAGTATAAAATGTTTTCTTTAGGTTACTTTCATCTGAGTCTCCTCTTTTTATTTTAAACAATGTAGCGCAGTACAATCGATTCAATTTTATTTCTAGCAATGGCAGAAAGCAACCTCCCAACAACGGGAGAAGAATTGGAGGTGAAAAATGAGTTTCCAGCCACAGGTAAGAAAAAGCAACAGGGAGAGACTTCGTTGTGGTGATTTTGTACAGTTTGTTAATTAAGTATATCTTAATTCCGGTGCACAATTTTTTGGATTACTTCGACTTGAAGGTTTTTAAGGAATCCACTAAATACGTCAGTATTAGAACGCTAGTTGTAATTGCACATAGTTGTGATCACTAACAAGTTGAAATATCTTCTCGGTAATTTCAGCAACAGAGGAAAGTCAAGTTACGTCAAGTGACGCTGAACTGGATGTATACAATGACCCTTTAAGAGGTAAGAAAACTAGGTGAAGTAAGATTGTTTGAAAGACGTCCTAGTGAAGTTTTTTTGTCCTTTTTACATCAAAATTTGCGTATGTTTTGTGAATGAGTTTTTGAAGCAGCAAAATATCTTCAAATTTCAAACTTTGTTACCAGTAAAATAAAAACGAAACAAAAAAATAATTTATTGCTCGATCCAATGGAGCAGAATTCGATGACATCATTAATTATTTACAAGCCACAAAGCGGCAAATTTGAACGCGACTTCGCTTTGAAGAGCCCTAAATTAGAGAAGAATGGGTCCAACTTGGCCCACTAGGCCTTGTATAACTCAGTTTTCTGAGTTTTAGAAGTGCTTCCTTCCAAATCAACGCACGGCGTTTTAAAGATTAAAGATGTAGCTACAATTTTCACCTAAAATGAATAATATTTGCGAAGTAGAAGTATTTTCCTTTTGAATTTGAAGATACTCAAAATTTGGTCATTTTTAATGTGAAAGTCGTTTTCAGCGAGAGAGAGCTGTTGGCTGAAAAAAATGGCAAACGGATAACTTTTTGAGGCCGCCACGAAGAAAGTATTTGACTAAAAGTTATGCTAACACCTGTTTGTCCGTTATTGTTCAATGCATGTTTGGCAGAAATTTTATGCAATTTGAGAATCCTCCAGCGAAGAGGAGGCATTTTGTCTCGGCCGTATCGCCTGTTTTGGTCTTCTAAATATTTCACGCCTCGTTAGACAGTTATGTCAACACCAGGCCCACGCTATAAACCACCAGTCAACAAAGTATAGAACCCCTGACTTTCACAACAGGCAAAATGGCACTTCGCGGGAAAGCAGTACTTTCCCAATCAGATTTCTCCAGTTGGCCTCTTAGAGTATGTTCTCAATAGACAGTTAAATGTATGAGAAAAACCAAGTGATCAAAAAACAACAACAACAAAAGAACATTCTTTTTTTAGCGCACTTTTCTGAACGATGGGAAAACCACGAGCCCTGGTCACTCTCAGTGCGATGTTTTCTTTTTTTTAACAGAACATTCACAAGTTTTAACTTTTTCGTTCCTGGCTTTGCTCTGCTTTATGCACTAACTATGGGGTTTTATATTCTAACTTGATGTTTGGGAAACGTAACCCAGGTATAAAAGGGTTTTTGGAAAATCTCTCTATCTAAATGTAAACCGAACAGACTTGATTTGCTTACAGCCAAGCTACAGCTAAAACCTCTAATAGAGCGTGCGTATATTTTTAAACAAGCAAAGAGCAAAGATAAACTCTTCTGAAGTGCGATTGTAAACAAAGTTGAGTTGAAATAGGAGCTCCCGGTAAAATTTTTGATATTTTGGAAAACGTAAGCCAGTTGTAAAAGGAGTTTGTGAAAGCCTCTCGACCTAAATGTAAACCGAGAAACTTGAACTAGTAATAACCAAGCTGCAGCCCAGACTCTTAAAAGCTTGCACACAAACAAAGTGTACAGATGAAGATTTAGATATATGAAAATTCACATACTTGCACTGCGGTGGAAAGATGAAATTAGAAGATCCACGCAGCTAAGAACACTACTGAAACTAGTAGTTGTAAGTAGGACCTGAAAAAAATTTCAGGCTCGTACGGGATTTGAACCCATGACCTCTGCGATGCCGGTGCAGCGCTCTACCAATTGACTTGTACCCAATTCATTGATCAGCTCCCAGCTCAATTGGTAGAGAGCGCTGCACCGGCATCGCAGGGGTCATGGGTTCAAATCCCCGTACGGGCCTGAAAATTTTTTTCAGGTCCTACTTACAACTACTAGTTTCAGTAGTGTTCTTAGCTATTTTCAATTTCATCTTTCCACCGCAGTTGTGAATTTTCATATATCTAAAATCTTCATTCACTGGATGTTTATTTGTACCCAATTCCAGCTCCCAGTTGGCTTAGCTCAATTGGTAGAGCGCTGCACCGGTATCGCAGAGGTCATGGGTTCAAATCCCGTACGGGTCTGAAATTTTTTCAAACAACTACTAGTTTCAGTAGTGTTCTTAATCTTCTAATTTCATCTTTCCACCGCAGTGCAAATATGTGAATTTTCATATATCTAAATCTTCATTCATTCGGATGTTTATTTGCACCCAATTCATTAACCAGCTCCCAGTTGGCTTGTTAGCTCAATTGGTAGAGCGCTGCACCGGTATCGCAGAGGTCATGGGTTCAAATCCCGTACGGGCCTGAAATTTTTTTCAGGTCCTACTTACAACTACTAGTTTCAGTAGTGTTCTTAGCTGCGAGGATCTTCTAATTTCAAAGTGTATAGATATTAAACTTTTCTAATTTTTCGTTTTTCATAGCTCTAAGTTCCTTTAACCTAAAAGTTTGTTTGGAAGTATAAAGTTTGCATCATCGGTCAAGGGTCGTATTACTCATTACTAAATCATTACTAAATCATTAAAACGGTATGTTTTCAGGGATAGCGAAAGTATGTCTCGAGGAAGGTAACAAAGAATACAGACAAGGAGAAGCTAATAACGCGATAAACTCTTACACGGAAGGACTTCATGTGAACTGCAAAGATAAACGACTCAACGCCAAGCTTTACAGTAACAGGGCAACAGCTCATTTCCGTTTGGGTAACAATTTCATTTCTAAATATATAAATCTCTCATGCAGCGTTACAAGATAACGGAATACACAATCTGCATCAAGAAAAGAAAGAAGTTGAGCAACAGCAGAGGAAAAGCACAAATACATGAATCCCGCTTTAGTGGATGAAAATTAAGAAAAGAAATGATTCTCGTTATTAGACTGCAATTTAAGCAATTGTAATTTTTCAGGCTTCTTTGCTGCAATTTCATTGGATGAAACTTTTTTAAACCTCATTTCCTGAATCTCATAGCAAACTACATGGAATGTCTGGATGATGCAACAGTTGCTGTTCAATTGGAACCCACTTTCATCAAAGCTATTAAGAAAGGTGGGGTTTTCAGACATAAGCCATCAACATTTTATTCTCTGATTTCGTCAAAAGAGGATTCTGTGGTTTGTGGCAGGTAACTGCACTCCAAGTGTCAATTGTGTCTGGTGTGTCAATGTCTGTTATGTGGATATAAAGCATAAGAAAATGTCAATAAGCTCTCAAATACCGCTGCCTGGTTAGTTCACGTTGTAGAGCGCCGGAGGTCGAGGGTTCAAGCCTTGGACCGGACCATCACCCTGAGTCTTAAAATATCTGAGGGCAATGTGCTGCCGCCTAAGCTGTGACATCTGCAAATGGTTTGATATTCTTGTCACGGATATGGACGGAAAACTGTGAGCCCCGTTTCCTAAATCTTCTCTGTAACTATTAGCAGGGGACGTTACAAAACCCGAAAAAGAAGCACCTGAAAGATTCCCTATCAAGAGTTAAACTGCTCAATGCAGTCTTCCCGAAAACTTCCCCGAAAAATGCTGAAAAGTGCATAACAGCACATTAAAAGAAAGAATGCGCGAGATAAATTCGTCGTTATCATCATAAATTGAAGCTTAATTGGTAGCCGCTTTGTATTAGTTCCTTATTGTTAATTTTGAGTTCTTCCACAAGTTCAAATTTCCTTCATTATCACAATTTTTGTTCCCAGCTAAATGAAAAATTAAGTCCATTTTATCAATACGTTTATACCTTAACAGTGATAAATTACCTCGCACCACCAGTTATTCTCTCCTTTTCAGGAGCCAGAGCTTGTGTCGAACTTTGCTGGTATAAAGAAGCAAGGAGCTGGTTGCATATGGGATTGACCGTATCCTTTAACGAATGTTTCCAGCGTGATACGAGATGCAATGCGAATAATATTTCAAGAATAAAAAAATACGTTCTAGGCAGATTCTTCTACATATAATGCAAGCCATGTTCTCTTATACTGCACTGAGCAGTTTAAAGAAGCTAAAATATTATTAAGGAGTTCTTTCGATTGTTCGACGAAGCTTTACTTAAAAGAAGAGGCCATATTAACTAATTCCCAGAGTTTCTGCTAAATGCCCCTCGTTTTTGTCTTGAGACGAGCATCACCATTTCGACCGAATCTAAATTAATAAATGCGCTTCAGAACTAGCTAACACTCTCGAATAACTTGAAATCAAATCTCTTCAAGAAAACCACACTCGAATTATCATTCCAATTTTAAGGTTTTATCCAACACTCTCATTATTTTTAAAACATATTTCCATTGTATGTTCGCAAATCCGCTCATGATATAGTTACCCTTGACACGTTTTAAGATTGACAACAATAACGAACGTCTGCTTCAATTAAAAAGGAAATCGAATACTGAACTAAAGGTCAAAGCAAACACTTATGCTAGTCTCGGATGTACTTACCATAATGCTGCACAGTTCGATACAGCAATCGAGTACCATCAACTTCATCTAGAAATTGCTAAAGAACTGGAAGACAAGGCCAGAGAGGGAGCAAGTTATGGCAATCTCGGCAACGCTTATCAAGGTCTAGGAGAGTTCAAAACAGCCATCAAGTACCATCAACGTCATCTAGAAATTGCTAAAGAAGTGGGAGACAAGGCCAGAGAGGGAGCAAGTTATGGAAATCTCGGCAACGCTTATGACAGTCTAGGAGAGTTCAAAACAGCCATCAAGTACCATCAACAATGTCTAGAAATTGCTAAAGAAGTGGGAGACAAGGCCGGAGAGGGAAAAAGTTATTGCAATCTCGGCAACGCTTATCAAGTCTAGGAGAGTTCAAAACAGCCATCAAGTACCATCAACGTCATCTAGAAATTGCTAAAGAAGTGGGAGACAAGGCCGGAGAGGGAAGAAGTTATTGCAATCTCGGCAACGCTTATCAAGGTCTAGGAGAGTTCAAAACAGCCATCAAGTACCATCAACGTCATCTAGAAATTGCTAAAGAAGTGGGAGACAAGGCCGGAGAGGGAAGAAGTTATGGCAATCTCGGCAACGCTTATCAAGGTCTAGGAGAGTTCAAAACAGCCATCAAGTACCATCAACGTCATCTAGAAATTGCTAAAGAAGTGGGAGACAAGGCCGGAGAGGGAAAAAGTTATGGCAGTCTCGGCAACGCTTATCAAGGTCTAGGAGAGTTCAAAACAGCCATCAAGTACCATCAACGTCATCTAGAAATTGCTAAAGAAGTGGGAGACAAGGCCGGAGAGGGAAAAAGTTATGGCAATCTCGGCAACGCTTATCAAGGTCTAGGAGAGTTCAAAACAGCCATCAAGTACCATCAACGTCATCTAGAAATTGCTAAAGAAGTGGGAGACAAGGCCGGAGAGGGAAAAAGTTATTGCAATCTCGGCAACGCTTATGACAGTCTAGGAGAGTTCAAAACAGCCATCAAGTACCATCAACGTCATCTAGAAATTGCTAAAGAAGTGGGAGACAAGGCCGGAGAGGGAAAAGTTATGGCAATCTCGGCAACGCTTATCAAGGTCTAGGAGAGTTCAAAACAGCCATCAAGTACCATCAACGTCATCTAGAAATTGCTAAAGAAGTGGGAGACAAGGCCGGAGAGGGAAAAAGTTATGGCAATCTCGGCAACGCTTATCAAGGTCTAGGAGAGTTCAAAACAGCCATCAAGTACCATCAACGTCATCTAGAAATTGCTAAAGAAGTGGGAGACAAGGCCGGAGAGGGAGAAAGTTATTGCAATCTCGGCAACGCTTATCAAGTCTAGGAGAGTTCAAAACAGCCATCAAGTACCATCAACGTCATCTAGAAATTGCTAAAGAAGTGGGAGACAAGGCCGGAGAGGGAAAAAGTTATTGCAATCTCGGCAACGCTTATCAAGGTCTAGGAGAGTTCAAAACAGCCATCAAGTACCATCAACGTGATCTAGAAATTGCTAAAGAAGTGGGAGACAAGGCCGGAGAGGGAAAAAGTTATTGCAATCTCGGCAACGCTTATCGCAGTCTAGGAGAGTTCAAAACAGCCATCAAGTACCATCAACGTCATCTAGAAATTGCTAAAGAAGTGGGAGACAAGGCCGGAGAGGGAAAAAGTTATGGCAATCTCGGCAACGCTTATCAAGGTCTAGGAGAGTTCAAAACAGCCATCAAGTACCATCAACGTCATCTAGAAATTGCTAAAGAAGTGGGAGACAAGGCCGGAGAGGGAAAAGTTATGGCAGTCTCGGCAACGCTTATCGCAGTCTAGGAGAGTTCAAAACAGCCATCAAGTACCATCAACGTCATCTAGAAATTGCTAAAGAAGTGGGAGACAAGGCCGGAGAGGGAAAAAGTTATGGCAATCTCGGCAACGCTTATCAAGGTCTAGGAGAGTTCAAAACAGCCATCAAGTACCATCAACGTCATCTAGAAATTGCTAAAGAAGTGGGAGACAAGGCCGGAGAGGGAGAAAGTTATGGCAATCTCGGCAACGCTTATCAAGGTCTAGGAGAGTTCAAAACAGCCATCAAGTACCATCAACGTCATCTAGAAATTGCTAAAGAAGTGGGAGACAAGGCCGGAGGGAAAAAAGTTAGGTCTAGCAGTCTCAGCCATCAAGTACCATCAACGTCATCTAAAATTGCTTATCGGAGAGGTCTAGGAGAGTTCAAAACAGGAGAGTTCAAAACAGCCATCAAGTACCATCAACGTGATCTAGAAATTGCTAAAGAAGTGGGAGACAAGGCCGGAGAGGGAAAAGTTATTGCAATCTCGGCAACGCTTATCAAGGTCTAGGAGAGTTCAAAACAGCCATCAAGTACCATCAACGTGATCTAGAAATTGCTAAAGAAGTGGGAGACAAGGCCGGAGAGGGAAAAAGTTATTGCAATCTCGGCAACGCTTATCAAGGTCTAGGAGAGTTCAAAACAGCCATCAAGTACCATCAACGTCATCTAGAAATTGCTAAAGAAGTGGGAGACAAGGCCGGAGAGGGAAGAAGTTATGGCAATCTCGGCAACGCTTATTGCAGGCTAAGAAAGTTCAAAACAGCCATCGAGTACCATCAACAATGTCTAGAAATTGCTAAAGAAGTGGGAGACAAGGCCGGAGAGGGAGCAAGTTATGGCAATCTCGGCAACGATTATCAAGTTCTACGACAGTTCAAAACAGCAATGGATTACTATCAACGCACTCTAGAAATCGCTCAAGAAGTGGGAGACAAGGCCGTAGAGGGAAAAAGTTATGGCAATCTCGGCAACGCTTATCGCAGTCTAGGAGAGTTCAAAACAGCCATCAAGTACCATCAACGTCATCTAGAAATTGCTAAAGAAGTGGGAGACAAGCCTGGAGTGGCGTGCTCACTCTGTTCCCTTGGAAACCATTTTGAGTGCCAAGGAAATCTCATGATGGCCTTTGACTATTATTACTCAAGTGTAGAATTGTATGATGATATCAGGGCCAGTCTTCAACTCAACGATCAGTGGAAGATTACTTATCGTAATCTTTACCAAATAGCATACAAAGGTTTGTGGCGTATAAATCTCAAACGAGGTCAAGCTCTAAAGGCTCTTCTTGCCACAGAGAAAGGACGTGCTCAAGCTCTGAGAGATCTCATGACCACAAAATATCAGCCTGGAGATTCTTTAACGGAAGGCGCATCCCACATTTCTCTGAGGTGCGTTACATTGAGTACAGTTTTCATAGCTATTAATGGACCATGCGTTTACTTCTGGGTTTGCCTCAGTGAAGATAACATCCAGATGAAAAAGGTACACGTCAACGATTATAAGTTTGAGGATGAATTGGAACGTTTCATCCAGCTGCTGAACGAAACTACTCTGAAGGAGATCCGTGAAAGAGATACTGTTAAAATCGAAAATCTTCCTCCTCATTCGCCGACAGAAGAGGAAAAGGCCAATGATGTGATCCGAGTTGATGTGAGGCACTCCCAATCAAGTGCTTTAAAGAAGCTGCATGACATTATCGTTGCTCCTATTGCTGACCTGATCGAAGGCAACGAGATAACATTCGTTCCTGAGGGGCCATTTTGCCTTGTACCTTATGCAGCGTTGCTGGACTCCAAGTCATCATATCTGAGTGATTCTTGCACAATTCGTGTGCTTCCCTCTCTGACGACGTTGCAACTAATTCATGATTGTCCAGCTGACTTTCACATCAAGACTGGTGCATTGCTTGTCGGCGACCCATGTTTCAAAGATATCATCTATCAGGGAAGACGTTTGGAACAACTTCCAGGAGCAAGGGAAGAAGTGGAAATGATCGGACGTATCCTCAATGTTCCCCCCTCACTGGAGAAATGGCAACAAAACATGAAGTTTTAAAACGAATATCATCAGTGGCCTTAGTTCACATAGCAGCACACGGTAAAATGGAAACTGGAGAAGTTATCCTAGCGCCAAACACCACAAGAGAAAACCCTCAGCCGCATGAGGAAGACTATCTACTGACGATGAAAGATGTCATAGAAGCTGGGTTGCGAGCTCGTCTGGTTGTACTTAGCTGCTGTCACACTGCTCGTGGGGAAGTCATGGCAGAGGGTGTGGTGGGCATGGCGCGTGCACTTTTGGGTGCCGGTGCTAGATCTGTTGTAGTAACCTTGTGGGCGATTGGCGACGAGGGAACCCTGGAGTTCATGAGTTTCTTCTACGATGCACTTGCCAAAGGCAAGAAAGCAAGTGAAGCTCTCAATCAGGCCATGAAGTGTATGAGAGAAATTGAAGAGTTCAAGGAGGTGATTTACTGGGCACCATTTGTACTCATTGGTGATGATGTCAACCTGGATGTCAAGGATATTAGAAGCCGAAACAAGTAAATATTCTGTTTATACATTCTATTTAATACAAAGTTACCTTAAATCGTAATTATAGCTTATCTATGAGCAATGATACTTGCGTGTTATTTTCCTTTCAGTTGGGTTACGATATTTAGTTTTTGCTCCGGCAAGTTGAGATGCAGTAAAATCAAGAGGAAACGTTTACGATGATGACATTCTTTTTAGGAAACCTGATAGGAGTAAAAAAGCAAATTTCTTTTAAAACAATCCTTTTGTGCAATGTATCGTTTCATGTGCTATGAAATATTTTATGGCAACTCAACTATCCTTCCTAAACTTAGATTCTTTTATTTTTCAGTTAAGGCAGTGAGCATTGGAGCCCCAAGGAGTTTTAGAATACCCGCAAACGCTGATATTTGGACCATAAACCAGTAAGCTACCGATTAAATATTTTTCAAGAGTCTTCTTTTCAAAGCAGGAAGAACCAAAAGGCGACTAAAGTCAAGTTTAACAAGAGAACGGATTTTCATTGATTCAAAAGTTGACTTTTTCCTTGTCTGAACTGCTCTTAAGAGCTTGATCTTTTATGTTCAGCTGAAACTACTGGTTTTTTTCACATAATGTCTTGAAATTATCATGAGTATCTATACAAAAGTTAATTTTTAATCTATGTATTACCTACTAAGCGGATTTGGGCGTTGCATTGGCGTCGAAGTTGAAAAGTCTTGAAAACGTTTCCAGAGTTTTTTAGACTTTTACTCAATCGGTTTTTTTCTCATGAGTGATGTAAAGCTGTTACAGCCATGTGCGTGTGTGGAGAATTTCCATGGAAATTGGAAAATAATCAGTTGTCCGATTGCTCGATTATCTTAGTTTATGTCGGATGGGAATTGTGAGTAACTTTTCGATGATTTGTACCCAGTAATTGGTACTTAAAGTTAGTTTCTGCTGATCAGAATTTGGTTTATCTGGACCTAAAATGACAGATTTTGGCCGTAATGGCAAGGATTTAGTCTTGGTATTAGTTAATTTTCTGAGATTTCTCCTTTAATTTTGAATGCGATAAATTGTGTTCTTTTTTACAAGACGATCGATGCATTTTAAGTATATTTTTTAAACTAATCGTCCGAAGGCAAAACGAGAAGTTTTATCTTAATTTTAGTTACCGGCGTACACAGCATTAAAAGAAGCTCAGAACGAGCTAGAAAGTTGGAGCCAAATGATTTCATTTAGTTTCTCCGATTAGATTGTTCACATATGATCTAAGTACAATAAACTAACTTTTAAATGTCAAACAATGAAACAAGTCGCTTGGTTTTTTGTTAGAATCGAAGAGGAAATCAATGACAAAGGGAAGAAAATTTCTGCATCAACCTGCATAAGCCATTTCTTGTCGTTTGAAGTAGTGAGCGCGCCTAAGTCTTATTCGCTTAATAACTTTTGCTCATTTCTTTGAATAGGTTTACAGAATGAGAGATAAACTTCGATGTTTTCTGACTCTATAACTGCTAATATCCATCTCGACGCACTTCTTTAGCACGTTATGCGACAGATATGATGTTTTGTTACATCTTGTCGTTTGAAGTAGTGAGCGCACCTGTGTCTAGTTCGCTCAACTATTGCCCATCTCTTTGGATAGAGTTATTAAATAAGATAAAGACCTCGATTTTTTTTCAGATTTTATAACTACTAGTTTCATTGGCAGCCGTTCCTTAGGATGTCACGCGACGCGCTTCTGTAAGCATGTAAAGCGACATGATGTTTTGTCATATATCTTTGAAGAGGCAAGGAAAAAGAAATTACCTTTCACTTTGGGAGATGATGCTTTACTCCATTTATAGAAAGAGTCCTCATCATGGGTACCCTAGGTCGGTGTGGTTCCTCGAGTGTAGAAAATATTGATGAATTTTTTTTTCCACGGTTGTAAACTTAACTAAAACAGCTTAACTTACTTAGAACTGAAGAGGGTCGACCGAGGAGAACTTCTTGCGGCTAACGGTTTAAATTTTGGCCATTTTTCTGCTGCGGTTAACTCAAAATAACACAAATTAACACTTTGTAGGAAGGAAAGATTTCTAAGGTTAATTTTTGCTGTAACTAAGGGTTAAAATCTGTCAATTTTTATGCCTAACAGCTAGTTTTTTGACCGATTTACGGCTAACGGTTAACCCTATGGAGACCCTCGACTGAGAAATATGCAAGATGTGAAATGAAAACGGTTTAAGAGGGTGGCATTTTCAATTCGAATTCGGAATTAGACCTTTTAGGGAAAAACAAGCCGTGGAAAAATCCTGGAGGCGAGGATTTAACTGGGAGATCTAAAAAAACTGCGACAACGTAAATGTTTCAGCAGAACATCTCTACTGACGATAGCATATATTACAATCATTTAAAAAAAAAAAAAGATCCATGGGAAGGGGGAAGGATGAGTCGATGGTCCGTTTATCCCCCCGGGTTGGGAGTGTAAACAGCTACGTGGTTTCATGAGTAGCATCTCCGGACGGATTCTCAAGAATCTAAGAGCTACGATTTCAGAAGGTAAAGATAAGAATCTCCCTGAGAAATTGATAGACTTAGGCTTCTTTCTTCTTCTTAAATTTTCTCCTCGTGCTACATAACTCAACTCCGTCTATCCACCCTACAGCGGTTTTTAGTATATACCACAACAGAGCTCTTCGCGTGGGCTGATTGGCTAATTCAGAATTAATAGTCGAACCTGTATTAAGAGGTCGGTTGTAAAATTCCCGAATTTTTTCCTCTTATGCATTGTGACTTTCACCACTTTTTAGCGGTGGTCTCTATTAAGCGGTTGTGGTCATCCTTGACTGAGTCCCATCGGCCTGTTCGGGTTGTATGGAACGGTCACTTAGGGCGGAATCACTCGAATAAAACTACGAATTGTCTCTGAAGTAAAATTTATTCCATGTTTGTCTCCTAAAATCAATGTTAGTATTTAGAGTTCAAATATCCTCAACGCATTGCAGATTATCTTTCTTCTCAGGACTGTTTGTATCTAACAAATAATACATAAGAAAATTACGCAAATTATTTCCTTAGTAATTACCAAGAGGTCTGGCCGTTAGAATTTTTATTGATCGTTCTGTTTTTACGCTGCATTATCGTTTTGTTGATGTTATTCGATACATTTTTGAGCCATTTTTTAAAATAAGCTTCACTTGAAAGAGAAAAGATAAATTATAGTACAAAATGTTGTTTTCTTGTCTTTTCTTGGTGACCTGTATTAAACGATGATAACACTCGGTGATAACACTCAGTTACGGGTTAAAAACGGTTGCTCGATTGTACCGTCCTCGTGAATTTGTGAAAGAATTAAATGGTTAGTTATGAGACAAAAAAGACGAGTTCCTTAACGTCATTACCCTCTGGAGTGTACGCCGGTATTTTCGCAAGTTCACGCCGAGATTCCCACGGGACACCTGTCGGGATCTCTCTCGGGATGCCGGTGAGGAGATTTGTACCAGGGAGCCAGCGGGAATTCGCCCGGGATCCCCGCGCGGATAAAAACGAGCAACCAAAATTGAATGAAATCCGGTTTCGTCAGTGGTCCCACCAATCCAATATTTCACTTCCTCCTCACTTTCCACTTCCGCTAAGTTTTTTTCGAGAAAGATCAGAGGTCTCCACGACGTTGGAGTTCGCTAATTGTATATGAATACATTCGCAAGTGTGAAAGAAATCGGCCTTCGCCAAAACACTTGTGTGGTTAATGCTCACAGCTGTCTGTCAACTACGTATTCTTTCTTGCCGCTAGTTCTTTGCTCCTCAGTTCCAAACCCACACCTTCCTTCCCAAGTCTTTCCCCTAATCACGGACCTCAATAATTCACAACATTATTTGGTATCGTGCGCCAATTTTTACTTTTCTTACTTTCATAATAGTTAAAGGAAAAAACAACAACAACAAAAATAAACGAATAAATAAACCAAAACTTCCGCTTAAAACGCGCGAGCAAACCGCAATATTTATTTATTATTTTTCTCTTTTTTTTTTTTCCTATATACTTGGCTTTAAGCCTAACGTAAACCCGCTTGCTCTTTTTTTTGTAAATATTACTTTCCAATACCTGATATATTATCTTTAAAAAAAAAACCCATCAAATTCAGATGTACCAAAGAGAATTAATCAACATTTAGAATCCATTATCGTTTACAGAGAAATAGACTCACAAAAACACTCATCTTAGATTGCAAATGTTATCATTTGCCTCTCCATGTTTGCCAGATAATATAATTCCCATTTCCGAAGCCAGCAATAAAAATCCACAATAGCCCTTCTCCATCTACCCATCTCACAGCGGTTTTGAGTATATACTACACATGTGAATAGTGCCTTTTGCGTGGGCTGTTGGTTTGGTGATTATCGCCTGCGCGTGTATCAACCCGGGAATCGACTTTCCAACTCTAGCTTGAAAATAAACATTTACACTTATAGCGGTTTTTTAGCATATACCATATTGGTGAATAGAGCTCTTCACGTCGGCTGATTGGCTAATTCGGAATGAATAGTCGAACCTGTATTAAGCGGTTG